GTTTTTCCATAAACAAAGATCTTTGGGCTTTAACAGAATCTTAAAAATAGCAGATTCACTTACTGAGTCAGCAAATTTAAGACAAAACACAAGAGAGAAATACCTGAAAAACTTTATGTCAATAGTTCGATTGAAGATAAATTTCAACTCTGAAATCCATGTGATCTAAGAAGCAGATACAAAGTAAAAATGGGGTTTCGGATACCGTTTTGGGAATATGAACAGAACTAATCAAAACTTAAATTGAAAAACCTTCAATGGTCGGATTAAGATTGATTTTCGAACTGGAAACTGGATCTGCAAAGAGTCTCGTTAAAAGAGGATTAGATGAGTTTAAACCTAGACAGAATCGCCGAGCATCGTCTCCATCATGACATCACTCAAGATCTCTAATAGACAACTTTAGATGAGAAAAAATTTCAACACTTGCCCTTTTTACTTCACCCTAAGATCTCAAATAATAACAGAATTACAACGGAAATCAAAATTTCTAGTCTATAAAATAAAATATTAAATTCTGAGAAAAATAGAGCAGAGGGATGGAGAAGTTTCCAAGCACCAAACAAATTAATTAAAAATAAGAAGATAACCTGGAAAAGAGGAAGAAACCGACGGTGTTAGATTTGGTCAGGACAAGCAAGGGTTCGTCACAAAGAATTGAAGAAATAAAGAAGATGAACACTTGCTTTGAATGGAGAAGCAGCCAAAGGACTCTCGTTAAAGTTGCCACTCAGAACAGAACATATTAAGTTTGATAAATTCATTTAGTCTCTTCACCGTCAAATCTTTCTTCCAACTCTACTTTTCCACCAATAAAAAATGGAAGAATGATGATGCCAGCAGAAAAAGTTAAAATATAGAAAAAATTTTGGTGTTCCTTTTGCAGTAAAAATTAATCTCCAACCATTGCCCTTAAAAATTACGCCATAGTTGGTGTAGTTTTAGTTCCCAATTTTTTTTTTCTTCAACCACAACACCAAATATCACGCTAAAAATATTTTTATTATTTAAATTAAATATTATTTTGATTAATAATAGTTTTAATAAATATTTATTATTCTTATAATTAATTTAGTAATTAATATAGTAGATATTTATTATTTTAAATGTTTTTTTAATTCTATTTTTCAATGTTTAAATCGATTATATTTTTAAAATAATTTTTTGTATTAATTTAGATATTTTATAGAATTTTATATTAAATTTTAAATTAATATTTCAATAAAATTATGATATGAATATAATTTTCATTAATTATTAGTATTTTATAATTAAATTTAGTATTTAAAAAAGTTTTATCTTTTTTTTAATTCACTATTTTATTAATAAAATAAGTGAATAGTGTTTTAGAACACTAAATTTGATGTTAGTTTTGGAGTCCTATTGGAGAGGTGTTGTGACCATTGTTCACATAAACACTAATTTTTGGCGCAATGAATAGTGTCAAATTAGGTGTTTGGGTGAATAGTATTTTTTTTTTATCTACAACCATAACACCAAATCTCTATAAAAGTTTACAAAATGATTATAAATCACTATGGTTTGTCATTGCAAATCTATCATAAAAGCTTATATCCTATTTATTAACTCTAATCCATTTATATAATATATAAAGAATATGGATACACATTTATCGTTCTTATATTTATAAATTAAAAAGTTGTACAGCAAAAATAAAATTTAAATTTTGCATCTGAAAAATATATCTTAACCAAAACTGATCTAATTAAAAATTATAAAAATATAAAGTTTATAGTATAAATTTAGAATTATCTATATAGATAAAGTAAGTTTTTCTCTCTTTTCATAAGCATCCTATTAAACATCCACATTAGTTCCACTACGATAAAAACGTCCAGAACTATCTAAAACGACGAGTAATTTGAATTGGATAAAATAATACTTTAGACTAAAATTAACATATATACTTTAATGTTTATTTTTTTTAGCTGCATTTTTTTCACTAAAATGAAACAGAATAATACAGAGCATTGAAAGGAGTAAAAAAAAGGAAACTTTAATGTTTATCTTTTTTAGCTGTATTTATTTTTCACTAAAAAGAAATAGAAAAAGGCAGAGCATAAAAAAACAGAAAAAGACAGAGCGTAGAAATGAGTAAAAAATGAAAAGTAGGGGAAAAGGGGGTCTCGAGACGAGTTTTAAGTCAGAAGATCTTTCTACTTCTGCTTTGTTTCGAGATATTTTCGACTTCTACCTCGGTACTGTCAAACCCTAAAGTTTTTTTTTCTTTTGAAACGAATCAAACAAAATGAATATTCTAATTCCTTTTGGTTTATTCATTTTTATAGTTTGTTGTGCAATTAGCTATGCAATTTGCAGAAAACGGTTCGAGGATTCTGAAGAATTGGGTGAAGTGGCAAGTACAATGCCAAGTAAACCACCATCTCCGGCGACTTCTCAGGTGAATTTCCTGGAGATCCTCTCTCCATCGTGTATCCCCTCTCCGGCGTGGAAAGCCAGTTGTTTGGCGTGGAGAGATCAAGCTCACAGGGACACTCCGGAGGATTCCTTCGTGGAGACAGAGGAGTACTTCTCCGCCACCATCTCGTTTGGGTCGACCACTGACTCTAACTCTTTTCCAACCGGTCCCTCTTCTCTAGAGAATGTCATACCTGACACATGTTAGAGGTCCCAACCTTTGAACCCGATCAAAGCCAAAACCACTAAGAACACTCAGTAACAAAACCTTGAACCCGATCAAAGTTTAGAACAGAGTAAGAACACAAAAGCTTAAACCCGATTAAGCTAAAGAACAAGAACTCAAACACAGTTTCTTTTGGGTAGTTTAGACTACCTCTTTTTGTTGTTTTTCATTGATTAAATAGGGAACGTACAAGAAGCAAACTGGAGTTATCAACTCCTACAAAACAGGAAGTGGAAAACATGGGAAAAGTGGTTGATGGGTTCCTCACAAATAGGAAGACCAATTCCACGTTATTTGCAACAACATAACAAAAGGAAAAACAAAGATTAAGTATTGACTTAATCAAACTTGCAATTGACTCTTATCATTTCTCCCCCCGTAAAAATGAACCTTGTCCTCAAGGTTCAGATTCCAGGGTCATGTGCTTCCTCTTCGTCACTGGTCTCTCCTCCTTCCATTAGGAGCAATTGAGGTTTTTGACATTTGTGGCCAGGTGTATAGCGTTCGTCACAACTGAAACATAGACCGAGACTGCGTTTCATCTTCAATTGTTCCCAAGTTAGCTTCTTTGGTGTTTTGGTTGGTGATTCATGATTTGGAAATGACTGGGTTGGAGAAGACACGGGTACCAAGGCTCTGGAATTTGACATGGTGACTGCAGGTCCTTTCTTTTGGCGTTGAAGTTGACCATCCTGCAATCTGGCGTAGTTGATCATTTCTTTTAGAGTTTTGGGCCGAAACATTCGTATCCCATCTGCAATTGACGGATGGAGACCACCCATGAAAGTCCCAACAAGAGCTGCTTGTGGCCAACCGTGAACTTTTTTTTGTAACCGCTCAAACTCTTCTTGATATTCTCTTAGCGATCCTGTTTGCCACACCCTTGATAATGCCTCATTAAAGTCCTCCCCGTCAGTTGGTCCGAATCTAGCCCATAGCTCTTCTTCAAATACCTCCCATGTGATATGAATCTGGTCCCCTCGGAGAGCTTTGGAGATGGCTTGCCACACTCGTTAGCAACACCATCAAGATGGAATGATGTGAAACGAACCAGTTGATCACGTGGCATCTCATGGTATTCAAAATACTGCTTCACTCTGCTTAGCCACTCCGTAGGATCACCGCCACTAAATCTCGGGAAATCGATCTTCACATATCGGTTTTGATGCACTGTTGCTGCAGCAAAGGGGTTTTCATTGTCTCCACGATGAATCGAAGTGTGTGGTGGGCTCTCCGTTGATCGTCGACTCCCTCTCCGCCCACTTGGATCACTTTCGCGGTTGACGGCTATGGCTTCCATAATTTGGCCCATGGACTCCTCCAATGACACCCGCATCTTTTGCATCTCATCTTGCATCATTCCCATGCTTCTCTCCAACATCTTAACTCGATCTTTTGTGCTTGACATTGACTCTCCCGAGGACGTACGAGTCAAGGTTTGCTTTTCTTTTAATTTTTTTGGCGGAATGGTGGGATGTAGATGTGATACGTTTGTCAAAAGGATGAAAAGAAACAAAAAAGAAAAAAAAATTAGAGCAATGCTGTGATACCAATTGTTAGAGGTCCCAAGCTTTGAACCTGATCAAAACCAAAACCACTAAGAACACTCAGTAACAAAACCTTGAACCCGATCAAAGTTTAGAACAGAGTAAGAACACAAAAGCTTAAACCCGATTAAGCTAAAGAACAAGAACTCAAACACAGTTTCTTTTGGGTGGTTTAGACTACCTCTTTTTGTTGTTTTTCATTGATTAAATAGGGAACGTACAAGAAGCAAACTGGAGTTATCAACTCCTACAAAACAGGAAGTGGAAAACATGGGAAAAGTGGTTGATGGGTTCCTCACAAATCGGAAGACCAATTCCACGTTATTTGCAACAATGAAAATATAACATAACATAAGGAAAAACAAAGATTAAGTATTGACTTAATCAAACTTGCAATTGACTCTTATCAACACATATCTACCCATTTGGTAAAAAGTCATCCTATTTACTCACTCTTTTACTGCGTAGAAAGGCCAAAGTCGAGGGGGACCACCTTGGTTAACCATCTTGACAATTTTTATGGGTCAAGAGAAGACAAATTTTCACTTTACAGAGTTTAATATTATATGATTTCTTATACTTCTTTGCATGTTGACAATGTTAAGTTTGATAACAATGGATTTCTTACTATTTAGTGGTAGTTAAAAAACAATTTTGAATTTCATTTTCCACATTTATGTTTGTTTTTCAACAAACAATCAATTGTGAAAGCTTAAATTTTTGTGTATAGGGAGGCTGAGAACGAGAAGGAGGTAGCAAAGTACTGAGATGTAGTTCTTGAGGAGGCTATGTTTGAGCTGACTGAGCACGTGGTTTTGGAGGTGGCTAAGCACGGCAAGGCTGTGCAAGATATCTGTAAGACATATGGATTTGATCCTCAAAGTTGTCCAATGCACATAGTGAGTCACTGATTCGGATGGTAATTCTGAGCCAAAACAATTTTTGCTTTTGAATTGTAGGTAAGAAGAATATTGAGTTAACTTCCAAGCAATCATTCTAGTAGCTAGTCAAATTAGTGATCAAAGAACTTGCTACTATTCAGAAAACATAATTTTTTCTGTCATTCCATTCATTTGAAGCTATTGTGCATGATCTATGTACATTAGTTTTGTCTCTTTATCTGTTTTCTTTGTATGTTTTAGGAGGTATTTTTGGAGACCCCGTGGAAAGAAATGATTGGGAGATCAACCTCATTGAGCAAATGGTTGCTGCCTTTAATCACTCGTTTTTTCCTGATTTTTGTCCGTGCTTGAGTTGGGTAAAAAGCCAAAACAAGTGGTAATTTTTTTGTATGTTAGGTGGGGAATGGTCTGTGGGAATAAAGCAAATGGTATGTACTTGTAGTTGATCAGTTTTTGTCTTTTCTTTTTATGTTTCTAAATTATCCGGATTATAGTGTCTGTTCTATAAGATCCAAACGCTGGACGAAGATGTGGGTGATCGGTCAGACGCATTGGTTTAAGAACTCCAACAATTGAATTTTCAGGATGGTGAACCTTCTGTGGGATAACTTTCTGTGGGAGAAATTAACACTTCCAGCACTGCACCACCCTATATAACACGATCTGGACGCACTTCTAAACCAATAAATAAAGTTTCTCCTAGTGGCCATAAGACAAAGTCTCGAAAGCACTGATCAAGGTGGTTTCTCAGAAAGTCTGTTTCAGACGCATTACTTTTAAACTCTTTGTTAAACACTTAAACTGTTAAACTCCTATTAAACTCTCAAAAATTTCTTATGCTAAACATTTAAACTGTTTGTGACAATTGAATTGGCACACATTTTACAGCTGAAACTGGATCCCATTGGTTTGGTTTGTTTTATAAAAAAATTACAGATTGAGTAAAACCTTTTTCCACTTACGTTTTTCCATAAACAAAGATCTTTGGGCTTTAACAGAATCTTAAAAATAGCAGATTCACTTACTGAGTCAGCAAATTTAAGACAAAACACAAGAGAGAAATACCTGAAAAACTTTATGTCAATAGTTCGATTGAAGATAAATTTCAACTCTGAAATCCATGTGATCTAAGAAGCAGATACAAAGTAAAAATGGGGTTTCGGATACCGTTTTGGGAATATGAACAGAACTAATCAAAACTTAAATTAAAAAACCTTCAATGGTCGGATTAAGATTGATTTTCGAACTGGAAACTGGATCTGCAAAGAGTCTCGTTAAAAGAGGATTAGATGAGTTTAAACCTAGACAGAATCGCCGAGCATCGTCTCCATCACGACATCACTCAAGATCTCTAATAGACAACTTTAGATGAGAAAAAATTTCAACACTTGCCCTTTTTACTTCACCCTAAGATCTCAAATAATAACAGAATTACAACGGAAATCAAAATTTCTAGTCTATAAAATAAAATATTAAATTCTGAGAAAAATAGAGCAGAGGGATGGAGAAGTTTCCAAGCACCAAACAAATTAATTAAAAATAAGTAGATAACCTGGAAAAGAGGAAAAAACCGACGGTGTTAGATTTGGTCAGGACAAGCAAGGGTTCGTCACAAAGAATTGAAGAAATAAAGAAGATGAACACTTGCTTTGAATGGAGAAGCAGCCAAAGGACTCTGCATTAAAGTTGCCACTCAGAACAGAACATATTAAGTTTGATAAATTCATTCAGTCTCCTCAACGTCAAATCTTTCTTCCAACTCTACTTTTCCACCAATAAAAAATGGAAGAATGATGATGCCAGCAGAAAAATTTAAAATATAGAAAATATTTTGGTGTTCCTTTTGCAGTAAAAATTAATCTCCAACCATTGCCCTTAAAAATTACGTCATAGTTGGTGTAGTTTTAGTTCCCAATTTTTTTTTTCTTCAACCACAACACCAAATATCATGCTAAAAATATTTTTATTATTTAAATTAAATATTATTTTGATTAATAATAGTTTTAATAAATATTTATTATTCTTATAATTAATTTAGTAATTAATATAGCAGATATTTATTATTTTAAATGTTTTTGTAATTTTATTTTTCAATGTTTAAATCGACTATATTTTCAAAATAAATTTTTGTATTAATTTTGATATTTTAGAAAATTTTATATTAAAATTTAAATTAATATTTCATTAAAAATTATGATATGAATATAATTTTCATTATTTATTAGTATTATATAATTAAATTTAGTATTTAAAAAAGTTTTATCTTTTTTTTTAATTTACTATTTTATTAATAAAATAAGTGAATAGTGTTTCTGAACACCAAATTTGATGTTAGTTTTGGAGTCCTATTGGAGAGGTGTTGTGACCATTGTTCACATAAACACCAAATTTTGGTGCTATGAATAGTGTCAAATTTGGTGTTTGGGTGAACAGTGTTTTTTTTTTTCTACAACCATAACACCAAATCTCTATAAAAGCTTACAAAATGATTATAAATCACTATGGTTTGTCATTGCAAATCTATCATAAAATCTTACATCCTATTTATTAACTCTAATCCATTTATATAATATATAAAGAATATGGATACACATTTATCGTTCTTATATTTATAAATTAAAAAGTTGTACAACAAAAATAAAATTTAAATTTTGCATCCGAAAAATATATCTTAACCAAAACTGATCTAAATATAAAGTTTATAGTATAAATTTAGAATTATCTATATAGATAAAGTAAGTTTTTCCCTCTTTTCATAAGCATCCTATTAAACATCCACATTAGTTCCACTACGATAAAACGTCCAGAACTATCTAAAACGACGAGTAATTTGAAACAGATAAAATAATACTTTAGACTAAAATTAACATATATGCTTTAATGTTTATTTTTTTAGCTGCATTTTTTTCACTAAAAAGAAACAGAAAAATGCAGAGCATAGAAATAAGTAAAAAAAAGGAAACTTTAATGTTTATCTTTTTTTAGCTGTATTTATTTGTCACTAAAAAGAAATAGGAAAAGGCTGAGCATAAAGAAACAGAAAAAGACAGAGCACAGAAATGAGTAAAAAATAAAAAGTAGGGGGAGGGGGGGTCTCGAGACGAGTTTTAAGTCAGAAGATCTTTCTACTTCTGCATTGTTTCGAGATATTTTCTACTTCTACCTCGGTGCTGTCAAACCTTAAAGTTTTTTTTTTCTTTTGAAACGAATCAAACAAAATGAATATTCTAATTCCTTTTGGTTTATTCATCTTTATAGTTTTTTGTGCAATTAGCTATGCAATTTGTAGAAAACGGTTCGAGGATTCTGAAGAATTGGGTAAAGTGGCAAGTACAATGCCAAGTAAACCACCATCTCCGGCGACTTCTCAGGTTAATTTCCTGGAGATCCTCTCTCCGTCCTGAATCCCCTCTCCGTCGTGGAAAGCCAGTTGTTTGGCGTGGAGAGATCAAGCTCACAGGGACACTCCGGAGGATTCCTTCGTGGAGACAGAGGAGTACTTCTCCGCCACCATCTCGTTTGGGTCGACCACTGACTCTAACTCTTTTCCAACCGGTCCCTCTTCTCTAGAGAATGTCATACCTGACACTTATCTACCCATTTGGTAAAAAATCTTCCTATTTACTCACTCTTTCACTGCATAGAAAGGCCAAAGTCGAGGGGGACCACCTTGGTTAACCATCTTGACAATTTTTATGGGTCAAGAGAAGACAAATTTTCACTTTACAGAGTTTAATATTATATGATTTCTTATACTTCTTTGCATGTTGACAATGTTAAGTTTGATAACAATGTATTTCTTATTATTTAGTGGTAGTTAAAAAACAATTTTGACTTTCATTTTCCACATTTATGTTTGTTTTTCAACAAACGATCAATTGTGAAAGCTTAAATTTTTGTGTATAGGGAGGCTGAGAACGAGAAGGAGGTAGCAAAGTACTTAGATGTAGTTCTTGAGGAGGCTATGCTTGAGCTGACTGAGCACGTGGTTTTGGAGGTGGCTAAGCACGGCAAGGCTGAGCAAGATATCTGTAAGACATATGGATTTGATCCTCAAAGTTCTCCAATGCACATAATGAGCCAACGTGAGTCACTGATTCGGATGGTAATTCTGAGCCAAAACAATTTTTGCTTTTGAATTGTAGGTAAAAAGAATATTGAGTTAACTTCCAAGCAATCATTCTAGTAGCTAGTCAAATTAGTGATCAAAGAACTTGCTACTATTCAGAAAACATAATTTTGTCTGTCATTCCATTCATTTGAAGCTATTGTGTATGATCTATGTACATTAGTTTTGTCTCTTTATCTGTTTTCTTTGTCTGTTTTAGGAGGTATTTTCGGAGACCCCGTGGGAAGAAATGATTGGGAGATCAACCTCAAGATCTATCAACCTCATTGAGAAAATGGTTGCTGCTTTTAATCACTCGCTTTTTCCTTATTTTTGTCCGTGCTTGAGTTGGGTAAAAAGCCAAAACAAGAAGTGGTAATTTTTTTGTATGTTAGGTGGGGAATGGTCTGTGGGAATGAAGCAAATGGTCCGTACTTGTAGTTCATCAGTTTTTGTCTTTTCTTTTTATGTTTCTAAATTATTCGGATTATAGTGTCTGTTCTATAAGATCCAAACGCTGGATGAAGATATGGGTGATCGGTCAGACGCATTGGTTGAAGAAATCCAACAATTGAATTTTCAGGATGGTGAAACTTCTGTGGGAAAACTTCCTGTAGGAGAAATTAACACTTCCAGCACTGCAACACCCTATATAACGCGATCTGGACGCACTTCTAAACCAGTAAATAAATTCTCTCCTATTGGCCATAAGACAAAGTCTCGAAAGCTCTGACCAAGGTGGTTTCTCAGAAAGTATGTTTCAGACGCATTACTTTTAAACTCTTTGTTAAACACTTAAACTGTTAAACTCCTATTAAACTCTCAAAAATTTCTTATGTTAAATACTTAAACTGTTTGTGACAATTGAATTGACGCATTTTTTATAGCTGAAACTGGATCTGATTGGTTTGGTTTGTTTTATCAAAAAATTTACAAATTGAGTAAAACCTTTTTACACTCACGTTTTTCCACAAGCAAAGATCTTTAGGCTTTCACAAAATCTTTAAAATAGCAGATTCACTCACTGAGTCAGCAAATTTAAGACAAAACACAAGACAGAAATACCTGAAAAAGTTTCTGTCAATAGTTCGATTGAAGATAAATTCCAACTTTGAAATCACTGTGATCTAAAAAGCAGATACAAAGTAAAAATGGGGTTTCAGATACCGTTTTGGGAATATGAACAGAACTAATTAAAACTAAAATTGAAAAACCTTCAATGGTCGGATTAAGATTGAACTTCGAACTGGGAACTGGATCTGCAAAGAGTTCCGTTAAAAGAGGATTAGATGAGTTTAAACCCTATTTTTTGGTTCATTGCTAAGTGATAAGATCATTTATAGGGGTGTGGGCCTAATTCTGTTAATCCTTACTTAAAGAACGTGTATAAGCGAAAATATTAAGTAAATGGAAACTTTGACGTTAAAAGAAATTGGAACCAAGGCATTAAGATAAGGGCATTTATGCTGGATTAAATATATGATTTATACTTAAACATTGGATATTTGAAAAGTATTATGAAATGGTCGGCCGTGAGGGGACTTACGTCACCATGGGTTGTTGGTTAACAAAAGAATATGAAGGTCGTGGATGGACGTTGGACTCCACGGTCCTAAGTGATTGTTTACGTGTAAGCCACATGAAAGATTCAGGAAAGAACCTGTGGTTATGACAAAAAGACACAAGCCTAAAGACGGAAAACGACCAATTTCTACCTCAACTATTCCAAATGACGAATATAGACATTAACTCATAGCCCGTTAGTCAACGATCCTATTCCGTTAACGAAGAGTAGTTTTATGCCACGTCGACGGCACTGTTGGCATCAGATGTTAAAACAATGACGTTTTGACGTTTTGGGTGTTGTAAATTTTATAATTTTTTTAAGGTTTCAAATTGTTTAATTGTTAGGAATTTTTTTATCCTTAGTAATTGTTTCTCATCTACCATGGTGGGAAGTTTGAGAAATTTTGAAGATAACATTCGAAGAGGTGATAATGTTAGTGGTGGAGTCCCAGAGTCGAAATGAAAAACCCTAAATGTTGAATTATCTCATTTTTTTTCAAACCCAGAAGATGAATTGTATCTCCGGAATCGAAATTGGCTTCTATTTCTTATACTATAGTCGATTTCGCGAATCTAACCCTGATTTCTGATGAATCACAGACCCTATTACTCTCAGTATATCGGTATCCCTCCTCTAAACGACGACAAAGAATTGTTGGGGAAGATAAATTTTTAATTCTGTACCTTTTACAAAACAACGTTGATTAGGTTTTTGGTTATTAAATGTCAAAACGTGTCGTTTTTACACCCGGTGCCAATAATGCAGTAGATGTGGCATAGAACTACTCTCCAAGTCTCCATGAGATTGTTGACTAATGGGATGTACTGGGTTAATGTCTGTATCCGCCAAAAAATTATTAGTACAGGTATGACTTGTCCAAATTTTAGGGGTTCGAGTATGAATTTTGGCAACTAAATTTTTCGGGAAGGAATCCGCACCATTTGGAGCAGTTGAGGTAGGAATTAGCCGTTTTTCCGCCTAAAGACTCTGAGGATATTTGGGTCATTCATTTGTAGCTTTAAAAAACATTTTTTCCTGTAAGATTGTTTTTTGGACAAACTTAAAAATGTTTCATAAATTAATGTATGTGAAACAAATGATTTTTTTTTTCAAAAGACATAAATTCAAATTCAAATTAGTATTTATCCTTTTCTAAATCTTACTAATCAAAAGTTATTTCTTAGTAAATTACCGTTAAAAGTTTAACAATTTTTCACTTGGGTCATTTGTAGTTTTAGGCAATTTTTGGTTTAAATTGTAGTATAGATAGGTACAGTAAAAAACCACTATAAATTAATAATGTCGGGTTCATAATATTTTATTAATTTATCGTGATATTAGTTTATCTATAATATTAATTTATAGAGAAAATTTTTTTTTTGTTTATTTTTTTCAACAATTTTCTTTTAAATGATGTTATATTTAAGAATTTAAACTTATATGCTTATAAAATATCATGCATAAACTTAAAATTTGATAACTAGTCATAGAAATCCCAATAAAATAGTTATTTCTATTTGTTAATTATGGACTGAATTATGTATGTAAAAATATAAATGTTTAGTAGTACAAATTTATAAAATAGTATGACTATTATCTTTAATGTTGGTACTGAAATTAAAGATAATACCATAATATATTTCAAAATTGTTATGTGTAAGAAAATCAATTATCACATCTAATATTTTTCACAAATTTTGAATGGAAATAAAAAAAAAAAACATTAAAAGCTATTGATGTAAATAAGTAAAGAAATAATTTTCAATAAAATTTTAAATTTAAATAAAAACAAAAAATAACTATATTTTAGTATATTATATCTTATCTATATATACATAAATTTTAAAAATTTTTAATTTATGTTTATATAGGAACCATATATTTACATAAGAATTTCAAAAAAAAATATTATTTTTTTATCTTTTGATAGATTTTTATACTGATACAACTCGAAACTAAGAAAATATATTAATTTATAGTAATTAATAATTTATCAAATATTAATTTATAGATTTTACTATATTAATTTATTAAAATTCGACTGTATTAATTAAAAAGTATATATTTATTTTACGGCTAAGGATCTCTCTCGAGTCTCGACCATCGGCAATCGCCATCTTCCCTGCTGGTTTCTCATTAGATTGTTAGATGAGCGGCGCATTAGGTTACCCATCCGCCTCCGTCAGCGTCGGCGGCAGCGGCGGCGGAGAAGGAGCTGGAGGACCTGCGCCTTTCTTGGTCAAGACGTACGAGATGGTAGACGATTCGTCGACGGACCAGATTGTATCGTGGAGCTCCACCAACAACAGCTTCATCGTCTGGAATCACGCAGAATTCTCACGCCTCCTTCTCCCAAAATATTTCAAACACAATAACTTCTCATCCTTCATCCGTCAGCTCAATACCTATGTAAGCATCGTCATTTCTCCGATTTCGAATCCAACCTCTTCTTCTTCTCTTCCATGTTTTTTCGATTGACCTAATTTTTGATTTTGGGTATTTCTGTTTTAGAATACTATTTGAATTCTATCGATTCGGATTTAGCTTCTTCAATCTCATCATTTGATTGGAACTTAGGGAATGTGATATGTGATTTGTTGATAGGGATTTCGGAAGATTGATCCAGAGAGGTGGGAATTTTCCAATGATGATTTCATCAAAGATCAGAAGCATCTTCTCAAGAACATACACAGGAGGAAACCTATACACAGCCACACTCACCCACCTGCTTCTTCGTCGGTAGATCAAGAGAGAGCGACGCTGCAAGAGCAAATGGACAAGCTTTCACGCGAGAAAGCAGCCATCGAAGCTAAGCTTCTAAAGTTCAAGCATCAGAAGTCCACGGCGAAGCATCAGTTACATGAGATGACTGAGCATGTCGACGATATGGAGAAGAGGCAGAAGAAGCTGCTTGATTTCTTGGAAACGGCGATTCGGAATCCAATTTTTATCAAGAATTTCGGCCGTAAAATCGAGGAATTAGATGTTTCTGCTTACAACAAGAAGCGGAGGCTACCTCAAGTTCAGCAATCAAAGCCACCTTCAGAAGATTCTCATTTGGATAATAGCAGTGGTAGCTCCAAACCTGAGTCCGGAAACATTTTCCATCAGAGTTTCTCGAATAAGCTCCGGTTAGAGCTTTCTCCAGCTGTTTCAGATATGAACATGGTTTCACACAGTATACAAAGCTCCAATGAAGAAGGAGTGAGTCCCAAGGGAATACTCTCTGGTGGTGATCCAAAAGCTACACAAATAAGAAGAGAAGGCTTACCATTTGCACCTGAAGCACTAGAGCTTGCGGATACGGGTTCATGCCCGAGGAGATTACTGTTGAACGACAATACAAGAACGGAGACCTTGCTAACTTCTTCAGAGGAGACTGATGGTAGCTTTTCATGTCATTTGAATCTAACCCTGGCTTCTGCTCCATTACCGGACAAGACAGCTTCGCAGATAGCTAAGACTGCTCATAAAAGCCAGGAGATTGGTAGATGTACCGAGATAAACTTCAAATCGATAGAAACAAGTGTAAGCGAGAAAAACCAGGGTAAACAAGAAGAAGCTGTACCTGGAGGTAAACAAGCGAATGCAGCTCCTCCAGCTAGAGTGAATGATGTATTCTGGGAGCACTTCTTAACAGAGAGGCCAGGACCTTTAGATAATGAGGAGGCGAGCTCAACTTATAGAGGAAACCCATACGAAGAGCAAGAGGAGAGAAGAAACGGGAATATGATGTCCCGTAATACAACGAATATCGAGCAGCTGACCTTATAAAGTAAATTCAAATGGTAATACATCCTTAAACCTACTCGTTTATTTGATTTCTTATATTGCTTGGTGATTGACATGATAGCTTTCTTGGTCGTTGCATGATACTTGCCACAATTGGTTGTTTAGCTAGACATTTGTCGATAGGATTCTTGTTATCAGAACTCGCATATGCCATTTCTATTAAATTTCCCTGTTCGTATTGATTAGGGAATATGTAATGCATCCTGTTTGTTGTTAGTAAAACTTAGCAAATTGTATAATCTTACTCATGTGGAGGGTTATAACCGGTTTATGCCACTGTATAATGTAAAAATTTACCCAATTTTTTTTTGTTTTCTCAGGTTACATCAACGAGTATGGTTCGTGGTTTTGGTATATGTATCGCTGAGTAAGTAATGAAACCGTAAGTAACCTTGTTGTTGTAAACTGTTGCGTCTCTCACATGTTTTTGTTTTTACACTTGTAATTTACTGTAAATTTAAGTGCATAGAATTTAAATTGAATAAGCAGCTTTTTTGGGGGGGTTTATCTGTCGTCAATGTTAAATTATAAGAGAGGAAATATGTTAACATTCTCTGAGATGTGTTTCTTATCTCTTTCTGGTACTAAAGTTTGAGGAAATATACATACGCGTATTCATTCATTGGGTGATGGTTATGGTGTATGTTCACCAAAGTTTAATAAACTCGTCTAATTTTGTTTCTCATCTTTAAGACAGGAAAAGTTTAGTATCACTCGAGTTATTCTCGAGTGAAAAAACAAAAAAAAGATTATCGAAGGAGGAGAGTCTGTGTACAGAGGTGTTAGGTTCTGAGTGAGAGACCAATAAGAAATGCTTTGGTCATCAGTTTAAATAGGCTTGTCAGAAATACCGAACTGAATTGGCTGCAGTGAACCAAACTGAAATTTGGTTAATTTTGGTTTGGTGTTAGATTTAAGGTGAAAACCCGATCTGCCAATTTCCTATTGATTTTTTTTATTAATTTCCAACCTTTTTTTTAGCTATCGTCTGAAATTTCAAACTTTTTTCAAATGAACCGAACGAAATATAGAAAAATGAGGATTTCGCCGAAAAAAAAAAACTGAACCTACCTTTTTTTTTTGGTACCAATAATTTTAACATAAACCAAATTAAAATTTACAGTAACCGAACCGAATCAAATGATCAAATCGGTGCAATTCGGTAATGATTTCCCCAACCCGAATAAAATCGCATTTCCGAAACACCGAACCGATGTTTGAACAGGCGGGCCGAGACGAACTTATTTTCCGTGGGGTTTTAACATGGTTTTCAATATGTGCTCTCTTTAAACGATGTCGTTTCTTATTTTAGCTTAAACAACGTCGTTTAGCTTCTCACTCTCCCAGTTCGATTTTCAGACACTGAAGAACCCTAAACCTTTTTCCTCAATGAATTCCTCAATCGTTTCTGGGTTTTGCTGAATTCGTCATCTGCTACTGACTCCGCTGTTTCTGGGTTAGTATCATTCTTTCTGTTTAAACATGTTTCTAAGTCGGAGGCTTCTTCTTTTTTTGCTAATGTTATGTGTCCTTTCTCTGGGTTTATGACAATTTTCATTCTAGCAAATGATTTTCCTATAAAGCTCTAACCTTTAAAACACATAACCAATTTGGGTATATGAGACTCTCGATATCTTCGAAGTATTAATTTTTGTGGTGTTATTTGAATTTCATAGATGATAAAGCTTGATTTTTTTCTTAAACTTCGGTTGCTTCAATCTGTGTTTTTTTTCTTCTCCGAATTTAAAACTGAGATACATTATTTATCTAAATGAGTTCCTGTTTATGAAAGAAATTGAGTTTTCTTATAAGCAGAGACGTCTCAAGTCTCAAACCTCATACCTTAGTCTCAAATTTGAACAATTTTCTCCAAAGAAATTAGGCAAAGTAAAACCTGAGCCATACTATTGAATTTTTCCACCTTTTGCAGTATCAAATTTCTTTGCAGTCAAAATCTCTTTGGCCATATGGCTAGATGGGATCAAATTTCGTTGCAGTCATGACACTTCTTAATTCCGTATCCATCATGAATGCAGATGGCTAGATGGGATCAGATTTTCTCCTTACCTGTGCAAAATCCCACCTTGCCAGAGTTTTCTTCTGCTGATCTTGTTTGGTCCAAGATCGAAGGTTACAGAGACAATATAGATAGGTTAGCACTCATCCCTTATGCGAGGGTTGATGATTTTGTAAGAGGCGAATCCTCGAATAAAGACTGCCCTACGAGTTTCCATGTTGAAGCTAGACGCCGGAAAGCCAAAGGGAAGAAATATAAGCCAAAAGTTGATGGCATCTTGGAGTATATTCTGTAAGTTACACAATTTGTTCTTGTATTGTTCACGACAAGTTAGATTCTTTTATCTGGATAGTATCATCTGCTGGAAGTTTATTGGATCTCTTCTCAGATCGTTATTACCTAGTTTCCTGCACATATGTGGTCTTCTTTCCGCACAGAAGTGACAGTGAATTATATTCTGTTTGCTTCATCTGCGTGTTCTCTTATGCTATTGTCTTTCTAATTCTTCTTTTTGCCTCAACATACTTTCTATTTCCATTCTTCTGGTTGCTATGATCCTACATTGTTCTCATTTTAGGCTGTCATCTGTTTCGTTTGTGTTTTGCGTGTGTAAGTTTGGCATTAATCAGAATCGTTGGTTATAAATCAGTGTTTTTGTGTGAGTAGGTATTGGTGTTCGTTTGGACCAGATGACAATAGAAAAGGCGGAGCTGTGCGGCCAAGTAGGAGCACATATGTCCCAAAAAAGAACAATGCAGGCCGACCAAATTCCAAAAGAGGCTGCAGGTGTCACTTCATTGTGAAGCGCTTAATTGCAGAGCCAACGGTGGCTTTAGTAATTTATAACAACGACAAGCATGTAGATGAAAAAGGGTTGCCATGCCACGGGCCACAAGACAAAAAGGCGGCTGGAACAAGAGCCATGTTTGCTCCATATATATCAGAAGATCTTAGGTTACGTGTACTGTCTTTGCTTTATGTGGGTGTCTCTGTGGAGACCATAATGCAAAGGCATAATGAATCAGTGGAAAAACAAGGCGGTCCAAGTAACAGAGATGATTTGTTAACCCATAGATATGTTCGAAGACTTGAGAGGAGTATTCGACGCTCAACATATGAGCTCGATGAGGATGATGATGTTAGCATCAACATGTGGGTTGAAAGTCATCGGAGTCATGTGTTTTTCTACGAGGGGTTCTCTGAAACAGATCCTTTTTCCTTGGGTATCCAAACTGAGTGGCAGTTGCAACAGATGATTCGATTTGGCAACTGTAGACTTTTGGCTTCAGACTCCAGGTTTGGGACAAATAAACTCAAGGTCAGTTTGCATCAGTTGCTAAAATTTGGTTTTTATATTATCAGGATGATTCTCAGGTCTATGTGTTGCGTTTGTTTGTCAGTATCCTATCCATAGTCTTGTTGTATTCGACTCTGAGAATAAGGCTATTCCAGTTGCTTGGATAATTGCACCGCGGTTTTCTAGTGGAGATGCATATAGATGGATGAGAGCTCTTTGTAACCGAGTCCATGCCAAGGATCCCTCCTGGAAGGTGGCTGGGTTCATAGTTGATGATCCTTTGGCTGACATAATAACGATCAGGTTGGTTGTTTCAAAGACCACTTTTTCATTGAAAAACCATATTGTCAATGCAGACTATTTTATTTGATTCGATGCTATTGCTTGTGATGGTCTCAGGGATGTATTTCAGTGTCCTGTCTTGTTTTCTTTTTGGCGTGTTCGCCACGCATGGCATAAGAACATAATCAAGAGATGTCCACAAACAGAGACACGTGTAGAGATTTCAAGACATCTTGGGCAGGCTGTAGACAAAATCTGCAGAAGGCAAGGAACAGCCACATTGTTTGAGGGTTTTGTAGACGATTTTGTTGGTAGTCCAGAATTTGTGGATTACTTCAGAGCTGTTTGGTCTCCCAGAATAGGTTATTCTCCGATTCTCTCTCTTTTCTGTTCTGCTTACACTTTACTTGCTTGGTTATATACATTTATTAATAAGTCACAAGCCTCTTGTACCCTAATTATCAAGTGTTAACATGTACTCTGCCTGAAACTATTTTCGTGGATGATTGACACTAGTCTTCTCGAGAATGATCTTTTCCCCTCCAATCTATAATAGGAGCTTGGACAAGTGCGTTACAATCTCTTCCCTTGGCAAGCCAAGAGACCTGTGCAGCGATGGAGCTGTACCACTATCAGCTGAAGTGCAGGCTCTTGAATGAGAGGGGCTTTGAAGTTTATCAACGTGCTGATTGGTTGGTTGATAAGTTAGGGACAAAAGTACATTCTTACTTCTGGCTTGATGAATATTCTGGAAAAGATGATTTTGCCCGGTACTGGAAAGAGGAATGGGTGAGCGGTTTGACTTCTTTCCGCAAAGCATTGAGTATACCAGATTCTGATGTTGTTATCTCTGGTATGTCAGCAAAAATAACAGATGAGTGTGACGGTGGCAACGAAGTTCATGTTGTGTGGAATCCAGGTTCACAGTTTGGGGTTTGCAGTTGCAGCTGGGCAGAAAAGGGTTACATATGTAAGCACATGATCAAACTTACACAAGTCAGTCTTGGAAACCGGGCTGCTAGGCAATCTGCTAGCCTTCTACAGTATTATCAGACCCTGATTGATCTCCTTCACTGCCCACCTCGCGATTCCTTATTCCGTGATTATGCAGTTTCTTTAGCCGTCTCTGCGGAAAAGCAAATCAATGCACTCGGCGATCTCCAAAAGAGTGATGCTAGTGAAGGTACTGTGCAGAAAGAAGTTGCTTGCAATGAACCATCATCTAATGGAAAATCTCTTGATGAATCTGGCGTAGTTGCTACTGATTTAGATGGAGAGTTGAGTAATATGCCAACGGGTTGGGATAAACTTAGAGCGTGCTCAGGAAATGCAGAAGACATAATTACCGGTTCTGCAATGGAAATGGATCCTTCACCTTGTTTAACCAAAGCTGCTGCAGAGGATGTTATCTCTACGGTGCAGAATGAGACAGACAACGCGAATGAGGAACATGAAATAGGTGCAAAAAGGTTGAAAATTTGGGCACCCGAGCAAGAGACCGTATGAATGATGGTAACTGAGCCAAGAACCTAGCCAGAGTTTCCAAGATTTGGCTGAGCATTCTAATGTTGAACATACACAAACTGAGAAGCAACTCTGCTAGGTCTCAGTGAGCATCCAATTCATAGCTATGACGAAGAGGCTCTCTACAAAGAGGAAATTGAAAGAAACCGTCGTGCTAACATTGTGTCTAAACCTACAAAGTTATTGAGACTATCCAGTACCATTTTGCTTTGGTCTGAAAGAAACAACAGCTCTTAAGTAATCTGGTTACAGTCTTGTACTCAGCTATGTTCCATGGAATTGTTAGACTACTATAGACTTGGTGAATAGATTATGAAAGTCACTAATGAGAGTGTTTCTGTCAACTTTTTCTATGCCGGAGATGGGAACAAGTGCTGTGTAAAACAATGGGTTACACACGTAACGAATCAAGTACTGTAGATCGTTAATAACTAGACTTTTTTTCTTCAAACAATTGCGTAATTGTTATTAAAGAATTCATAATCCATATCGAAACATATTTGAATGTAACTCAATTGTTTAGATAATAGAGAATACTTATAAAATATGAATTAATTAGGAATCTAGACATTGGTATTATCGGATATGGAAGACTCTTGAGATTCAAAACTAAGTTTGCAGCAACAATGACCTTTCTTTGATCCAACATAGTATTCACAAAACCCTCCTAATCTATATCCTTTATATCTGCAAAATTCATTGCATGTCCCTGAGTTCTTACATCCTGGTTGCAGAAAACATTCTTTGGCTTGTCCTGATTGGTTCATAAACAAACACATTAACAAGATAAATGATTGCATCTAAGACAATTTAACTATGAATAAGATATAAGTAATTACCTGAAATCATGGGTAGAAAGATGAGAGCAAACACCATCAATGATACAAGAGAAGAAAACTTTTTGGTTGCCATTAGTTATGTTGCTAGACGATACAACAAGCCTTCGTTAGAAAATATTCAATTTCTTAAAAATATTCAATTTCTTAGGGGAAATGAAAAACCTATAAGAAAGTAATCAAAATCACCAATTCAAGTATCTCTTACGATGGATCATATGTAATGGAGTTTCTTATAAAAGGTATATTATTTCTGAAGATTTAATTGGTGAATTAGACCATGATTTTTGTCAAACACTTGGTTTCACCTACATTTTAATTATTATCATACTAGGTAAATAAATTAAGATCATATTAGGCTATTCAAATTTGTTTTAATGGTTCTTCCATAATATTATATGGATTTCCGATAAAAATAGGAAATAAAAATAGAGATATTTTTAGTCTTATTTGGTTATTTAGTCAATTAATCTTGGTCAAATACTTGGTTCTTCACTTTATTCAGACAATCAATCTTGGTCAAATTAATACTTGTTTTTTACAAATTAATACTTGTTTGTTTACTACAAAAAATTTAGCGTCATTTATTGATTCTGTTATATCCGTTAACGACCGTAAAATTAAAAAGAGGAAAATAAAACTTTAAAAAATTTATATATTTTTATAGATAAAAAATAATTATATATGTAGAGTCGTGCTTAGACTTACGGTAGCTTAAAAAGAACTTAAAAAATATAATTTTTTATTATTTAACGAAAATATCAAAGTAATAATATTAACTAAAAAACTTCTATAATATTGATAACATAACCAAAATATAGAAATTTTAAAACATATTATTTTTCTTTGTTTCTTTCCCTTATTTATAATAGCGATTTGTTTCTTGTATTCTTTTGTTTGTTACTAACTTTACTAAATATTTCTATATATGCATAAATATTTTATAAAAATAAAAATAATAGTAACAGTTTTAGTGTTATGGTTTTCTTAAACTAGACTTAAACCCTATTTATCAAATTAAATATACATATAAAGGTAATTTCTATAAAAATATGTGACCCTCTAATCTTATAATTATTTTTGTGGCTTTAGGCATTTACCTAATTTTTATAATACATGAGGCACGGGTTTGTCTATATGTAGCTATAATGGATCACCTTCTCGTAGATCCTTTTGCGGTTTAATGTAATACAAGCAATCCTGCTATAGGAAATGAAAGCTACCTATAGGTGAGTTGTGAATGTAGATGAGTCTTTTTCAAACTATTGCGTACAATTATGGGTGGGGACAGAGTCAAAAGCTACTTGTCAGGGTCGTGATTGACAGCTGGTTAGTGCTGCGAGAGTAGGCTAGTCATACCACCTTGCTCGAATTATAGAATACATGTAGTTGATTACCTTTATTATTTATTTTCGTCATAGGTCTACTCCATAAATTCCCGTGAATACCCTTAAGTACAGCATTCATTCTTAATTGTTTACAACCTCGATTTTATTTGCGTTTTTATTTTCCTTGCTTTCTTGTTTAGATTTAATGACACCAAAAACAAAAAACTCAAATTGTTGAGTTCTAGTCTGATTTAAGCATTATAATTATTTTGTACTGAAACAACTAAGTCTCTATGAATCGATACCCTAAGTACTACATCGCACATCTGTACACTTGTATTTATTTAGGGGTTATAAATTTAGAACCTGAACTTTAGTAAAACTAACCCCAATCTATGCAGCAATCAATAAGCCGTATAATGACAGTGTTCATCAAAATGTGGAGGGGAAAAAGTGGATTGGACCATCAACTACGAGTACTAGTTGGTTAATTTTCTTATCATGTTTTATAATTCAACATTGATTCTTTCAACTTCGACTTATGTGGCTGCTCATAAACTTTACAATGAGATTGTCACTACAAACACCAGTGAAATATGCACTAGTTCTGGGGCTGATCAAGAATTTATGAGTAAAGCATTAGCTATGCTTGACAAATTATGAAAGTAATTGGGATCCGTTTGGTGAATGGTTGAAATGAACAAGCTTGTGATAGTGGCAAGTGTGTTTGCCCCAAGGAAGAAGATGAAGTTTGCTGAGATCTGTTTTAAATCATTTTATGACAAAGATAGTCATGAAGCTAAATATCTTTATGATTCAGTCAAAGAAATATTGAAGTCTTTGTTTGAAGAGTAGTACAAATGCTACTGGTGGGTCGTAAGGTTTGGGTTCTCGGTCACAAATAAAGTGTGTTACCATGTGAGGCACTTTTGAGTTTATAATGTCCAAAATAGACACTTTTGAGTTTTTATTACAAAAAAACACTTTTCTACTATTTGGGCACTGAAAATGACTAAAAACCTCATTTCATTAACACACAATTGTTTATCTATATTTTTTCTTTATTTAATATTATATTAATATCACACATTCCCTATAATTTTTTTTTGTTATTTATCTATTATTTAAAAAATAATCGAATAATTATTTTGACACTATAAATTATATAATTTTACTTTGATACCCATTTTATATTTTTAACCTAAATTCTTTTGTCATTTAGTGATAGACACATACGTATCTATATAGTAGCGTCCACGTAGACACACATATATGAATATCTATAAAATTATATATATATATATAACATATATATATGTATACACATACGTATCCATATAGTAGCGTCCACGTAGACACAAATATATGAATATCTATGCAATTATATATATATATATGCATATGCACGTACATAGAGTATAGACGGATGTAACTATATAGATACATATGTATATTTACATGTGTATCCATAGAGTTGAATACATATAGACACAACTCTATAGATATATATATGCATATCCACGTGCATATATTATAGATGGATGTAACTATATAAATATATATGTATATTTATATATGTATCCATATAGTTGCATACATATATATATATGGGTCCTGTGCGATTTAGTGTGTGGAAACTGATGATTTAAGGTGGATCCTGTGCGATTTAGTGTGTGGAAGCTGATGAGTGAATTTAAGTGGGTCCCGTACGTTTTAATATTTTCTGTAGATAAATAGAAGGTAAAAAGGAAAGGAGGGCAAACAAGTCAAAAAATGGGAGCAAAGTAAGATAAGTACCCCATTTCCAAAAAGTGTTTTTTTTTTTGCAATTACACTTTGAAAAAGTGTGTCAAATAGTAATATTCTCGTAACAAATATCATCTTCTAAGTCTCATGTAATTGAGAAAAGGAGTCTGAAAAATGCTGTTGGTTATAAAAGATGGATAACATCTATGAACAGCTTGTACAAGAATCAGGAGATGAAGATACAACAAATGAGTTGAAGTTATACTTAGGAGAGAGTATGGATTAACCACACCTGATGAAAGGTACATATTATGATATCTTAGGGTGGTGGAGGAGATATAGTGCAAATTTTCCAGTCCTATCATTAATAGCTAAGGACATACTTGCAATACAAGAGTCTTTAGTAGCATCTGAATCTGTATTTAGTACTAGATGGTGGAAGTCTTGATGTGTACCGAGCAGTGGTTAAAATGTGAGATTTATATCAATGAAAATGGGATGTCAACATTTTAAAAAATATGCTTGCGGTTGCGGAGGTAGAGTTTGAAGATGATTTTATGAGAGATAATTTCTTACATTTGAACTCTTATTGAATTGTGCTTTATAACTTTGAGTATTAACTTTACTTTCTCTCATATTTCTATAGAGTATGAACCTGCATTCAACTTAGAGCATCTGCAATGGTTGCCTCTATATTTTACTCTAAAAATAGAGTTCTCTATAAATAGAGAAGGGGTTTACTGCAATGGTTGCCTCTATATTTGACTGTAAATTTTATTATTAATTGCTTACAAGTCCTTTTACTTTTAAATATTTTAAAAACTTCTATTTATTTTATTTTTAACAATAATTTAACATAATTATATTTTAAAATTTTTTATTTATTATATTTTTTTGTTTTATTTTAAACTTTTAAATGATTATATAACTATTTATTATTAATATAGTTTAATTAAGTATAGTATCAGGTGGTATCTTATAGTCAAATACAAAGATATAAAAGTTTAAGGACTGTTTTGTAAATAAAAAAATTGTTCTCTATAAATAGAGAAACGAACAGTATATCTCTAAAAATATAGTTTAGAGGCAGAAATAGAGTACCATTGCAGATGCTCTTACAAGGATGAATGAACCTGAGAGTTTGAGGTAAGCGAATCTCTAAAACTTAGAGTTGTGTCATAGGTATGGTATTAATATCTGAATCAGATTCTGATATGTAGTAGAGAATATCGTATAGATATTCTCCTTAGCTTGTAAATAGGAATATTTACATATATTGTAGTAGATTTAGCGTTATCTATAATGGACATATGTATGTGTATATAAGCAGACCTTTAGGTCAATTGTGAAATAAGAAGAACTTTCCGTACAAACGTCTTGGTTTTCACATGGTATCAGAGCCAAGACAACCCTAAATCGCTTTTCTTCGACGTT